GCCAATTTTTTACCCATCCAACTGTGCAGGCATCAATGCCGCAGTCACTTAATTTATCGATGAGGATGGGGTGAGAGACAGTGTCAAAGGCCTTCTTAAAGTCTAGAAAGACTATGTCCATGGCGACACCATCATCCATAACCAAGTACCAAAGGCAATAAAAGGCGATCAGGTTGGTCTGGCAGGACCTGCCTTTGGTGAAGCCATGCTGATTGCCCCTGAGCATGATCTCCCCTGCAGGCCCCCCACAGATGTGCTCCTTGATGATCCTCTCCAAGAGCTTCCCGAGCACCGAGGTGAGGCTTACAGGCTTATAATTACTTGGGTCCTCCTTCCTCCCCTTCTTAAAAATAGGGACCACATTAGCCAGTTTCCAATTCCCTGGCCAGATGACCACGAATGCTCATACAGCCAGGCCTAAGGCACCGTGATGACCCCTGCCAGCTCCCTCAACACCCTTGGGTGGAGGGCATCTGGACCTGCAGATTTAAAAATGTCAGAAGATCCCGACCTACATCTGCACTGACTGAAGGCTTGATAGAGCTATCCCCAAGATTGTCCCTACGTCTGATAGGTGGGATATCCCGGTCCCTGTTCAGGAAAACAGAGGCAAAGAAACTGTTAAAAATATCAGCTTTCTTGTCTGGCGTGGCCACCAGATTACCGTTTGTGTTTTGCAGGGGCCCTACATTGCCTACAAGTCTCAGGGGGATAGCGCCATACAAGGTGTTTAGAACAATTGAGTTCTACCTGCTTAATTGATATGGTTTTTGGAACAACTGAGTTCTGCTCAGTTGATATAATTTGGAACTGATTTGGCTAATTTGACCTGAAACGAGCACTCTGTGTGTGCGTGTGTGTGTGTGTGTGTGTGTGTTCCTATATATATATACATATATAAAATAAATAAATAAAGAATCCTGTCCTGCCTGGCAGATCCAAAGCACTTTGCAAGCAAGACTGAAGCCCCAGGGGCTTCTCTGCCAAAAGTCTGGTGAGGACCACCATTTCCCTGTTAGCCTGGCACAGACGGGGGAGGGCAAGGGCTGGCCCTGGGGGCTTGGGGTCAGAAAGCATGGGTCTCTATGCCTGGAGCTCAGCGGTCCCCTTTTGGGGCCCCCGCACACTGCTCTGGGCCTTCACGTCTAGATGCCCACCCGTGGGTCACTTGTGTGGGAGGCCCGTGCCTTCCACACAGAGGTTTCTCTCTGCCCCTTACCTGGCATTTGGAAAGCAACATGAGCGCCTCTTTGTAATGCATCACCGCCTTCTCGGGGTCTCGCAGGTGGAAGCAGGAAGCCCCAAGCCCTTCGCACGCCTGCCACTGCCCAAGGAGGTCATCTGGACAGAGAAGGGAGAGGGGCTCAGAGGACGGGGCAGTTGGCAGAGCCTCGTACTGGCCCCTCTGATGTGGGGTCCTGTCTACACCATGGCAGCAGACTGTGACTGCCAGTGATAGAGAGCACCACCTTACCCACATCCTTGAAGGCTTGCAGGGCATGTAAGTAGTTCTCCCCTGCCGCCTCATGGTCATCCAGCTGGCTGAACGCATACGCCAGGTTGCTGAAACACTGTCCCTGGGCCTTCCTGTTCCCCAGCACACCTGGAAGGACATGGACACGTCCCCTGGCAGGGCTGGCTCCCTGGGATTACACAGCCAGTTGTCCTGGCTGGGAGCAGAATCCACCCCTGCCAGCTGGGTGTCAGTCCAGAGTCCTGAACGTGGCACTGGGGGACTCACTGCTGCAGGATGTGGCGGAAAGCAGGATTTGAAAAGGGCCTGTACACACCACTTCTGGCTGTGTCGATAGAGGGGCAGGGTCTGACAGCGACGGAGAGCAAGGTGGGGTAGAGTTGCATCTGACAGACTTGGAGATCTACAGCGTGACCATTGGTGAGCTCATGTCATCAGGGGTGTGCAAGGGACGTGCAGATAAAACGGAGGGGAACATGATTGATCTGTGGTTTCTTCTTCTGGCACTTAAGGGGACCTAGATGGAGCCACCCAAAGACCCACATCCCCCTTCTAGCACCAGCAAATGTTCTGGACTGAGAGTTTCTAGAGCAAACGATCTGGGACCAGACCTGTAGCACATACTAAGGGGTCTAGATCAAGGAATTTGGGGCCAGCACTCACCCTTTGCGCACACAGATTTAGGAACCCCAAAGGGTTGGGCTCCAGCCCCATGGGAACTCACTGTGCAGAGATGCTGCCCGTTGGTGCAGCTCCAGAGCCAGGTGGAAGTTGCCCAGGGTGTTATGGGCAGCCCCCAGGTTCTGCAGCACCACGGCCTCTTTGCGCCGGTCACCCGGGTCAGTCTGGCACAGCAGGAGGGCTCTCTCGAAACTCTCAGCTGCCAGGGAGAAGATCTTGAGCTGGGAGTAGCTGAGGCCCATGTCGTTGTACAGCCTCCCTGCAGAGTGGGGAGAAAGAAGTGGGGACAGTCGCAAACCCCTGCTCCCTCCTGTGGGACTCTCTGTAACAGCCCAGACACCCCCAGTGTTTAATAATCTCTCCCTGGGACCATGGCATTGCCTGCTTTGCTAAAAGGGAATCATTAGGGGCAGCTTTGCAGCAGATGCTAGGCTGGATGAACGGGGAGAGCTCATACAATATTCTGGTCTAGTCTAATCCTTATAGAGCCTGTCAGACTGCAACCGTTTTCAGTCCAGCTCAATCCCTGAGTTACTTTTCCACATGGAAAGCTCAATCCTACCCTTTTAGTCCAGCGATAGATAGAGGAGAAACACAGAGGTGGCAAAGCCTCTGAAAGAAAGTGAGCATACATAGGATGCATGTCCCTGCTGCAGTGCAGGGTATGATCGATACTTGCAGCAAGGGAGGTTTAGGTTGGATGTTAGGAAAAACTCTCTCATGAGGAGGGTGGTGAAGCACTGGAATGGGTGGTGGCATCTCCATCCTTGGAGGGTTTTAAGGCCCAGGTCCATAAAGCCTTGGCTGGGATGATGTAGCTGGGGCTGGTCCTGGTTTGAGCAGGGGGTTGGACTAGATGTGGCCTCCTGAGGTCCCTTCCAACCCTCATTTTCTACGATTTTACAATCACTTGTGGTCTCAAGGGAGAGCACAGTGGGTGCCTCTTGCTTTAACATGCTACGTCTGAATGGGACTTCAGTCAGTTTTGGGACACTTTAAAAAAGGTGCATGCCAATGACAAGGGCTCTGCACAGTGCCAGCCTGGTATGGCCGGTCACCCTCAGCCCCTCTTACCTAGCAAGGCTTTGCTGCCAATGTCCTCGCACAGCAGCCGGCACTTGTTCAGCACCTCCACGATCTCTCCGGCCCCGTACTGCTGGCTCTGCAGCATGCAATTGCTCGCTTCGTTCAGGGCCAGGGCCGCGGCTTCCAGGCTCTGGGCCTCGGCGTAGGCCAGCCCGGCTTGCTGGAAGCACTGGGCTGCCCGCGTGGAGTCCTGCATCCCCAGGTAGCAGTAGCCCATCTTCATGCAGGTGCCAGCCTGGTTGCCAGCCTGGGTGGAGCAGTAGTGACCGGATGCCTTGTGGAAATACTCCAGGGCCTTGGGGAAGTCCTGTAGGCCCTCGTGGGCTGCCCCGAGGTTGAAGTACAGGTCCCCCAGGTGCTCCCCAGCTTCCCCCTCCGTGGGCCGGGACTTGAGCAAGAACTCCAAGCCCTTTTCCGGCTTCCCGCTCTCCACGTAGGCGGCCCCCACATTGAACGCACAGGCCTTCTGCACCTGCGGGTTGGGAGCATCCAGCGACAGGAGAAAGGCCTTCTTGAAGCAAGCCAAGGCTTCTTGGGCATCCCCAACCAACAGGGCTTGGTGCCCGGCTTTGGTGAGGCTTTCAATCTCTGCCTGGCTCCTCAGAGACCTGTCCTCTTCCTTCTTGGCCTCCCCCAGCGCCTTGGCCTTCTCCTCTTTCTTCTTCATCTTCTTCCTGGAGACCGCAGGGTCTGGGGGTTGAGCTTCTGATGGAGCAGGGTCTACCGATGCCATTGTTGATGCTGGCAATGACAGGTCATGGGTCTGCGAAAGACGAGAGGAGTGTGACCTGGCTTGCTTAAGCACATGCTAAGTCCATGGGTCTAGCCTGTGTCCAGGGACAGTTCAGGGCTTAGATGTAACCCCAAGATCCTTCTAAGCCCCAGGGGACAGGAGGACTTTCCCCAAATCATTGCAAAGCTGCCTTCTGCTGGGTTGCTTGCACCTCCCTCCAAAGCAGCTGGCATAGGGAACAATACTGGGCAAGACGGACCCAGGCTGCTCATCCCCGTGCTCCTAGCCCCCACGGCTAATTTAATCCAGCAGGACATCACCCCTGCTCTTTTATGGGGGCAGCACTGTTTCTTCCCAAAAAAACAAGTCGGCTCCTAGGTCTTTCGGGTGCAGAGAAAAGCAGAGCTGAGAAAACCAAGGGTGAAACCCAAAGAATGATTTAAAATGGTATGGTTTTGTGGGGGCTGATGGGAGGGAGGGTGGCAGGACCAAGCTTCTGCATCCCGGCCGCGTCTTTCACGCTGGTGCTGTTAGTTGCTGCCTGTGGGGACCCGGCATTGGACACCTGGGGTCTAGCCCTGATTTGAGGGATGCCTGGCTTAACCCCCTTGGGGTAGGTTTTGCCTGGCATCTGGGCACTGAAGTGTTTGAAAACCACGGGAGCCTTTTCATGTCTACCCCTCAGTGTTTTCCATAGCAGAAAAGTAGCGATTAAACAGTGTGACTCACCTAATGCTTCATTACTGGTGGCAAAGCACAGGGAGCCTGGGCTCAGAGGCGCAGACCGTGTCGGGGTCTGGAGCAGAAGCTGCGGGCCAGCACCACCCCAAGCATGTGGTGGCGGCCCGGGGAAGCGAGGGGGATCTCTGGGGAGGGCAAGGCTGCCTGACTCTCTTCCTTGGCAGGCTTGTCCCCGTGATGGCCCAGGAGGGTCCGGTTTCTTCCCACACGCCTTCCCCTGGAGCGTGCTATGGCAACCGGCTTCAACAATGCGGGGACACGTCACCCGACGGACACCAGAACAGGGCAGCAAGCGGCGTGTGCTTGGTTGTATGCCGACGTGGAAACCCGTGGGCACGGCATCCCCTGCACCGTCTCGGGGGTGGGTTGTTAGGACCCCCCAGTCCTGGCCTCCCTGCCAGCGAAAGAGCCTGTGAACAAAGCTGACGGCGCTGGGTGTTTTGAGACCTGACAAACTCGTGGCATGCCCGCAGGCACGCATTTCTGCGGGAGGTTTCATCTGCAGGGGCCTGAGGCCCCCAGCTGCAATCGGGACCTCGTTGCGCTAGGCGCTGTATAGAGGCAGAGCAAGGGACGGGGTACGGCAGGCCACGGGTGGAGCTAGTTATATGCCACGGGCCGTGGGGGCAACTGCAGGGGGCGGGGGG